GGGAAGGACAGTTAGGGGCACCAATAAATCTCCAGCCCACTGACGGAGTAGATGAAATAGCCATTTTCCATTTTAAAAGAAAGTATCGAAATTTCACAAGCATAAGAGAATTTCAGCTTTGGAGCTTTTTACTAGAGCACTCTTAGTTGAATGTTTGCATGTGAGTGACTGGTGAAGTCCAGTGTTCTATCTCTCCAAGCAGAACAAGCCAGTTTGCACAAACAAACAAACAAACAAATAAAAAGAAGAAAGACATCGATCATCGTGGTTAAGTCTGACTATCTCAATTAGGTAACATCAAGATAGATGGCTGTTTTAGAGCCCATCAAGGTTTCTATAACACTCTGGCACCTTTATGAAGGAACAGGTTATCTACTGTTTTATTTTCTAGTTATGTGGATTTTCACTTTTGATCAGTAGAAACATTTATATAAATAAAAACCTACACAGGCATTCATGAAAAGCTACAAACAATTTTGCCTACTTTCGGTTTCTCACTGTCTCATCCTGGGGATGAGGACAGCACTTCCTGTCTCACAGGCCAAGGCACAGCACAGTGCCTGGTATGGAGGGGGCATCACTACCACTGCTGATGCTATTATCAACGTATCCTTTTTCAAAAGCATTATTAAGCTAATAACCTGGAAAATCTAATAAAAACTTTCGGAGCTTCATTCCTTTGGAAGATTTGCTTTTGGCAATCTTTGTGTCATAGCAAGGGAACTCATAACTCTTAAAAGCTTGTTTCTGTATTGCAACTGGTAAATAGGAAGCCCAAATGTATGGGCCCCACTATTCAAGTCAAGAAACTGCATTTTAAGCAGAAAATGTATTTGTCCGTACTCCCTTGAGAAAAGAATGGAGAAACCAATTTCTCTCAGACACTGGTCCTTGGCTCGAGACCAAATCGGCAGCCCTGCAGCCCTGGAGGAAATCATTTCTGCAAGTCTGAAGCGATTGATTCCAACCAAGAAAGCTCTCTGCCCTTTGCCAAGGGTGGAGTATTTCTTCTGAATGGCACTCTGTCCCCACTTGCACGCTCCCTCTGACTTCTGCCTCTCTAATCAATGTCAAGGATGCCTCGCAGCTGTGGGGACAGGGAACTGAAACGGAACAGGAATTAAGCCAGGGAGATTAATAACAGGGTAAAGGGAGGAGAGAGGGGGAAGAAAGAAGAGAAGAGAAGCAGCAAAAGAGACAAATGTGAGCTCTGCTGAAGGCTCATTTTCAAGGGGAAGCCACACGATAACTGCATGGACGCTACATTGGCTGCCTGGAGCTGGGAAGCGAATTACTCCAAAATGGAAGAACTTCAAACAACCCATACCGACAACAGTTTATGTAGGGCAGGTGTCACACGGCAGCTTAGCTGGGTATCTGGTTAAGGGTCACTCCCGAGGCTCTAACACCACGGATCAAGCCAGGGCCTTCACACTGAGCCATATTCCAGCCCTTTTTTAAAATTTCAAGACAGGGTCTCACTAAGTTACTCATTTGCTAAGTTGCCAGGGTGGGCTCACACCTGTGGTGCTTGTGCCTCAGCTTCCCGGAGAGCTGGGAGTACAGGTGTGAGCCGCCGTGCCCAGTTATAATCCAAACGCTGGCTGGGGCTGCGGTCTCGTCTGAAGGCCAACTGAGGAAGCGTCCTCTTCCAGGCTCCTTACGTGAGCACTGGCAGGACCGTTCTGATGGCCGCTGAACTGACAGCTCAAGCTCCCTGCCACATGAGCCCCTGCACAGGGCCAACCGCAGAGCGACAGCGGCTCCATCGGAACGGTCACCCGAGGAGAGGCAGAGTGAGTGTGGCCAAGGGAAAGCCCAGGCAGCGTGCGCTGATTCCGGGAGAGACAGCCCATCACTTCTGCTCCGCGAGAGCGAGTTGCAGGTCTTGCTGTCACACAGAGCACGGCCACGCAGGAGGGGACATCGGGAGGCTACAGCGTGTTTATGCCAGACCAGTGGCATGCTTTTTAACTGTGCTTAAGGCATCTCGTCAACTTCTGTGTTGTGCTTGCAACCGGAAAAATAAAAACGGCACAGAGCCATCCCCAAGGGGTGGATCACGGGGCCAGGAAGATAAACAACTGCTGGTAGGAAGGCAGAGTTGGCAGGGAGACTTCCGCGACGCCTGGCACTGAGGCCCTCTGGGTGTGTGGGGCACATCCTTTGCTCTGGGGACCACAAGCGGACGGGTCACCCCAGGGGCAGGGGGACGGGTAGCACACACAGGGCCACCCCCAGGTGAGCCCAGTGAGACACAAGCAGAGAGAGTGAACACTGCTGCGGTTCTTTGTGGACATCGGCCCTTGTCTACTTTTCCTACTTATAGGGAAGAAAACCAGGCAGGTAAACTTCTCAGCGAAAGCATTCGTAGGATATGAATACATTTATCAAGCACAATCACATTTTTAAGACTCTCTATCTAATCCACAGTTGTATGCAATTTCTAAACTAACCCTTGCTTTGACAAACTGTTCAAATTAAAATTGGTTTTTACCAAAACTTAGTTAAAATTTCCAAACATTCTCAAGTAAGATTCACTCCTTGCCCATAGAGTACATGTAAAGTCAAAGTGACTTCGTTCAAACAGAAAGATAGCTAGCAGAATTCAAACAAAACTCCAGGTGATCACTGGAGACTGGAAGGCGGCAGACCAGGGAGCCCTAGGCGCAGGGAGTGGAAGGAGCTAAGATATCACGAGAGTCAAAAATGACCAGAATGGCAGCACCTTCCTCAGGTCACTCCAGGGACGAGTGTTTCCCACCCCGGAGACTCTGCTTCCTTCGCAATCCTCCTAAGTGGAAACTCGAGCTGGGCCTGGTACACACCTATCATCCCCGCACTCAGGGCCCGACACACCAGGATCACAATTTCAAGCCCACCTGGGCAACTCAGCCATTCGAGCCTCTGTCTCAAAAAAATGTATAAAGCGCTAGGGATGTAGTTCAGTGTGAAGTCCCTGGGTTCAAACCCCAGCGCTCTCCTACCCCCACATACACAGTAACTTTAAAATGGGATCATTTTGATCATGGTGGACCTCTGCCTTGGCATTCTGACTAACCAGCATCTTTGCCAAGGGTCTTGTAAAGTATCTGAGGGTAAAGCAGCATCTGAGTTACTTTCAGCCCATCCTCCTGCATCCAATAACAGTCACCAGCGGGTCCTCGTCAGGGCCAAGCCCAGGCTCCAGCCTGCACCAGGACGCCTTGCAAAAGGGTCATTTTGAGTCTCCTCATTTTCAGGAGGCTGAAGGCTTTTGAGGTGAAGTATCTGCTCACGGTCACCGGCATGCGTGTAGGTCAGAGAAGAGATGAATCCTAGACAGTCTAATTTCAGAGTCCTGCTCTTGTCTGTCTGGATACACTCCCTTGTGGGGAGATCTCACAGCCACAGAAAATTTGAAAAATGAAGGACTGTGTGACAAGGAGAGAAAGTCCGACACCCTGTGAGCTGGTGAGTGAAAAATCACAATACAGCAAACCACCAGATGCAAATTAGCCACAGAAGAGAACGCTCTGAGGGTCCCCAAGTTCACCCCACCAACTAGTTACTAATCAGAAGGAATAAAGAGGTGACTTTGTAAAGAGAAGCTCTGGCAGTCACCACATTCACCGAGGATGAACAGGCCAGAGGACACGGTGCACCACTGATGTGGAAAGCAAAGGAGATGTTTATTTAAATCCAAGTGTGAGGGAACCATCAGACAAATCCATTCGTGAAGCACTCTATAAACCAAGTGGCTTAGATTCTTAAAAAAAAAAAAACTACATGGAGCTGGGTGTGGTGGCATGAGTGCTGCCTGGGCAACTTGGCAACTTAGCAAGACTCTGTCTCGAAATAAAGAAATTAAGAAGGTCTGGTTCAGTGAAGGTGGCACTCAGTGGCAGAGTGTCTGCTACCACAAGTCCCGGCTTTGATATCACACGCACGTGTGCACACACACACACACACACACACACTCACCCACGAAAGACACAAACAAAAGCAGGGGTTTGGTTTAGAATGAAACAGATATAATTAAATTCAGTGCATGGCACCTAATTGCATGCCAGACAGGGAAAAGCACTATGATGACTATTTTCAGGACAGCTAAAGTTGTCTGAATAGGGACAATGTCTGGATAATATTTCTCTACCAATGCTATGTTTCAAAGTAATAACAGTCTAGCTTTCTAGAGGATGGCTGTATCCTCAGGAGATCCATGCCGAAGTATGTTACGATGTCTGCAATTCACTTTCCAATGTCTCTGACAAAATAACTGAGAATACCCATATATACATACTCGGGTGACATACACACACATTACAGCCTCTCTCTGTGCATAAACAGCTGCTAAATCTGAGTAAGAAGTATATGAATTTGTACTTGAGTCTTTCAGCTTTTCTGTAGATTTGAAGTGTTTCCTAATAAAAAATTAGGCAGAAAGGCTACTGAAAAATGTTTGCTCCAAGAGTTGTAAGGCAACTTGCTAGGACGTCAACTAGAAAGGAACAGCATTTTTGGACAAACACTGAGAGGAAACATTAAAAACTAAAATGATTAATGTGCTGAAGTGATGAGACCATTTTTATTTCACCTGCATTATTCTCACGACACTTCAGCAACCAATCATAGTTCCGACGAGAGTTACAAAGTAAACTGCACTAGTGTGGATGGAATCACTTGTCAACTCCTAGGGCCGTGTTCCTATTCACAGGAAGGCCTAACACTCCAAACTCAAATTCTAATGCAATGTGAAATACAGTTCCTAGTCCCTTCTCAGTGGGCTGTGGCGGGCAGATAACTCTTTCTTCTTGTTCTTTTTTTTTTTTTTGGTACCAGGGATTGAACTTGGGACCTTGCATCTGCAAGGCAAGCGCTGGAACCACTGAGCTAAATCCCAGCTCCAGATAACACTTTCTTTATAGGGGCTGAGGCCTCGTTTCCCTCTGTTCTCAGAACCACCATGGGCTCCCTGTGGGAGACGTGGACAGCACCCACTGCTCTCCCACAGCACTTACCTCTCAGTCACCTGTATCTCTGGAGGTGAGTGGCAGTCAGGCATTTGGGCCAGCACCGCTCGGTCTCTGATGGAAGTGGCCCATTTTTGCTGAAGTCGACGGTGTAAGAGCGCAGCCTCTAGAAGTCTGGAAAAGACAAGAGGTCGGAAGTGAGAATTTGAAATTTCAATATCAGAAGTGTTTTTTTTTTTCTATTTAAAAAATGAAATGTGAATTTTTTTAAAATTTAAAAATAATTTTAAACATGAAATATACCACGAAATGATCCAGATAGTGAATTCTACTCCCACATGCCATCTCAACCTTTAATTTTTAAACAAATGCTGGAGTCATTTAAAAAAGTTTTCTCTGAGTAGGCTTCAGAAAGGCGGCGATGGGTCAGAACCCCAAGGAGCTGCCAATGCAGGGGAAGCAGGGTTCCCACAGGGGCCCAGGAAACCCAATCCTGACTTGGGAGATTCCTGGAGAAGGGCCGAGGGACCCCCTGGAAACTCACGAGTGGGCAGTGTGCTCCAGTCACACTGCTGGGACCGAGGTGTGGGTCCCTGAGGGGATCTGGGGTCACAAGGCTGATCGCACCAAGTCCCTGTGCACTGTGCCTCAGTGTGGTGAGCAGCAGCCTCCTGACCTGGAGACCCTCGCAGACTGCACGTCTGCTGGCAGCTCTTCTTGCAGACTTTGGGTCCTGTCTGACTAGTGGCTCAGCGTGGTCAGCGACCTGTCTGGGCTGCATCCCGCTCGGACTTCACCATCTAGGGTGGAACCTGCCTTCCCATGTACAGTGCCCAGGACCCTCCGGTCTGCAGCACACCCAGCCACGTGCGCCCCCGACTGAGGGAGGCACCAACCATCTCTCTAGGAGACAGAGGGCAGCAGGGACTGGCAGGCTTCCCTCGGCCCTTCCCAGCAGAACAAATTGTGCATCTGCAGAAGCACAGCGGGTCCACGTTGCTGTCTCAAAGCTAGTGTGGTCACTGTCTTCGGGGGGTGTGTGCCTCACATCAACATGTCTGGCCCCTCTGGAAATCTTCCCATCTTGGGTTCCACTTTGCTGTTGGCGTTGTACTCCGCTTATGCTGTATTTCTACTCTTGTCTATTCTTTTTATACTTTTACCTTTTTAGGTCATTTTATTTCAACTGTGTCTCATCTAGTACCTTATAGGGCTAATGTAATGCTTTACTCAGTTTCAGAATCTATATTCTTTAGCTGGGGAATTTAACCAGCTTCCATCTTGTCTTGGCAGGATGTAGGAGTAGAGTAGTGGGATGACGGGTATATTTGGAACTTTGCGAGTCACCTTATTTTATGTTTTCTTCTCAAGTTATCCTTTGTTGTTTCCTTGACATATTTTACTGACTTAGTTGACCTTATTTTTCCTCTTAGCAATCCTCAGAAGCTGTATTTTATTTTTCTTCACTTAATTCTCTTAAATTTATAAAATACATATGTATGTTCATCTTTTCTATCCAAATTTAGAATATACATATTTCTCCTATAATTTCTACACAGGATAAAGTCCATTTTTCAATTTAGTTCCCTTCTCTTCCTGTGCTGTTTGCTATGTTTTATTGGAATCATTTAAAATGTTAATTCCAAATTGCTTTTGATGTTCATGTTTCTACCTTCTTCAGAATCATCTTTTAACAGTTGTTTCAAGCTTGGGAGCTTTCTTATTATTATAGTGGACCCTAGACTTATGCACTTGACAGGTTCCCATGGGCTGGTTCTAAGTACAGCTGCGATCTGGATGTTTACCTGGGTATACACTATAGGTTACAAGAGGCAGATGAATCTCCTATTAATCTAATCTAATCCAAGTTGTTTGCATTCAGGCCCATTGTAACTTGAGGGTCCACTGTAACTGTAACATATTGTTGTGTCTTAGTGTTTGCTAGTTGATCCTGGATAATTTACATCACTTGTTTCTCCCAATGATTTTTATGTTATTAAAAGGATTCTAGGATTAACTCTTTCAAAGAGACTTGAGGGAATACACTTTCTGAGTTCTTTTTTTTTTTTTTTTTTACGACCTGTCTGGGCTGCATCCCGCTCGGACTTCACCATCTAGGGTGGAACCTGCCTTCCCATGTACAGTGCCCAGGACCCTCCGGTCTGCAGCACACCCAGCCACGTGCGCCCCCGACTGAGGGAGGCACCAACCATCTCTCTAGGAGACAGAGGGCAGCAGGGACTGGCAGGCTTCCCTCGGCCCTTCCCAGCAGAACAAATTGTGCATCTGCAGAAGCACAGCGGGTCCACGTTGCTGTCTCAAAGCTAGTGTGGTCACTGTCTTCGGGGGGTGTGTGCCTCACATCAACATGTCTGGCCCCTCTGGAAATCTTCCCATCTTGGGTTCCACTTTGCTGTTGGCGTTGTACTCCGCTTATGCTGTATTTCTACTCTTGTCTATTCTTTTTATACTTTTACCTTTTTAGGTCATTTTATTTCAACTGTGTCTCATCTAGTACCTTATAGGGCTAATGTAATGCTTTACTCAGTTTCAGAATCTATATTCTTTAGCTGGGGAATTTAACCAGCTTCCATCTTGTCTTGGCAGGATGTAGGAGTAGAGTAGTGGGATGACGGGTATATTTGGAACTTTGCGAGTCACCTTATTTTATGTTTTCTTCTCAAGTTATCCTTTGTTGTTTCCTTGACATATTTTACTGACTTAGTTGACCTTATTTTTCCTCTTAGCAATCCTCAGAAGCTGTATTTTATTTTTCTTCACTTAATTCTCTTAAATTTATAAAATACATATGTATGTTCATCTTTTCTATCCAAATTTAGAATATACATATTTCTCCTATAATTTCTACACAGGATAAAGTCCATTTTTCAATTTAGTTCCCTTCTCTTCCTGTGCTGTTTGCTATGTTTTATTGGAATCATTTAAAATGTTAATTCCAAATTGCTTTTGATGTTCATGTTTCTACCTTCTTCAGAATCATCTTTTAACAGTTGTTTCAAGCTTGGGAGCTTTCTTATTATTATAGTGGACCCTAGACTTATGCACTTGACAGGTTCCCATGGGCTGGTTCTAAGTACAGCTGCGATCTGGATGTTTACCTGGGTATACACTATAGGTTACAAGAGGCAGATGAATCTCCTATTAATCTAATCTAATCCAAGTTGTTTGCATTCAGGCCCATTGTAACTTGAGGGTCCACTGTAACTGTAACATATTGTTGTGTCTTAGTGTTTGCTAGTTGATCCTGGATAATTTACATCACTTGTTTCTCCCAATGATTTTTATGTTATTAAAAGGATTCTAGGATTAACTCTTTCAAAGAGACTTGAGGGAATACACTTTCTGAGTTCTTTTTTTTTTTTTTTGAGACAGGGTCTCACTATATAGTTGAGACTGACCTGGAACTCACTATGTAGCCCAGGCTGGTCTTGAACTCACAGTGATCCTCCTGCCTCAGCCTCCTGAGTGCTGGGATTACAGGTGTGTGCCACCATGCCTGACTCTGAGTTCTTAAGTAAAAATCAGAAGAGATTAAATGTAAGACAAAGGAAATCAACAGCCAAATGTTCTTGAAAAAAGTTGGAGGTCTTACATTTCCTGATTTTAAAACACATCATGAGGCTATGGTAATCAGAATGGTATATTACAGGAATAAAGACAAGTACAGACCACTGAGATAGAAAAGGGAACCCAGAAATAACTTGTCATACATAAGGCCAAGTGATTTTGGAAAAGGGTGCCAAGATCACTCAATGGGGGAAATAGCAATCTTTTTTAAAAAATTAATTTTATTGATACATTTCGGATATACATAAGGATCTCATTCATCATAGGGAATTTCTATCTCGATTCTTCTTTTTCTCAAATCCCTTTCCCTCCCTTCAACCCTGCTTGTCCTCCTTATTTACAAAAGCTTTGTTTCCATATTTTGGGGAAAGGGCAGTCTTCATCTGGTGGTGGGAAAACTAGATAGCAAGCTTCCAAAGAACACAGGTGGGCCCTTAGCTAATGCTAAGTTCAAAAATGTACTCAAAATGGATCAAAGATCTAAATGTAAAATCTAAAATTCTTAGAAAGAAATACTGGGGGAAAACTTCACCTCACTGAATTTGGAAGTTACTTCTTGGATACAACACTCAAAGAATGAACAACAACAAAAAAATAGAAATAAAATAGATTTTATCAAGAGTAAAATCTTTTCATGCTTCAAAGGACCCTATGCACAGGATGAAAGAGTAACCTACTCAATGAAAGAAAATACTTGCAAGTTACATACCTGATAATATTCAGAATATATAAGGAACTATGACTCAACAAGAAGATGAACAACTCAGTTTTTTAAATGGGGTAAACAGTTGAAGAGCCATTTCTCCAAAGAAGACAAACAAATGGCCAATTGACACATTAAAAATGCTCAACATAAACAGTCACCAGGGAAATGCAAATAATGAGATATTAATGTACTTCATTCCCATTAGGGCGCTAATTATTTTAGAACACACGCACACATGCGCAAACCACACACACACACACACACACACACACACACACACACCAGAAAATAACAAGTGTTGGGGAAGGCCGCAGGGAATTAGGAACCCATTGTATATATTGCTGATAGGAATGTAAAGTGATGTACCTTCTAAGTAAAACAGTGGTTCTATTTTTTATATTTCTGTAAAAAAATTAAACATTGAATTACTTTACGATGTAGCAGTTTGACTTTTCAGTACATAACCACCCAAGAGAATTCAAAGTAGAACTTAAAAGGGAAAGGGGAAGTGAGAGAGGCAGGGGAAAGGAAAGAAGGGAGTGGAATTAATATGAGAAAATGAAACAATGGAACCAAAGTCTTTGTAGATCGGGAGGGGTGGAGGTGTTGAAAGGGAGGGCAGGGGAGTGGGGAAAAACTAAGAACCAAGATGCATCATGTAAAGGCGCAAATTTCCAAGGATGAATGTCATTATGTTGTATACCTAAAATGTACCAATAAAATTAATCAAAGAAAGTAAAACTCAAATGAACATTTATTTGTGAAACTGAGTTCATAGTCAAGTTATTCACAACAGTCAATAGCTGGAGACAATACAAGTGTCCACAGATGCGTGGATAAATAAAGTATGACACATATGTTACACAAGGGAGGATTAGTA